GATGATGATTAAAACATGAATAACTGCAACGATTATGTATATATTATTATACAATAAATGTACAAGTGTACAAGAAAAATTTAATGAACTCTCATTTAGTGACTGTAGTATAAAAAACTTTCAGAAAAAGTTAAAACCAATTAAAGAATTGATTCAAAAACTGTATAACCAGAAATCGTATTCTGTATTTATTTGTAATTGAATAACATTGTGCTGAAGTATACTATACTCCTTATAAGGTACTGCGCTATAGAATGCCTATAGGTAGGTATACTTCCAGTCTTTCATAATTGATAGTAATTATTAAACATACTAATTTGTAAAAATTAACTGTGTTTAAATAAAGTACAATGATTTGTAGTTGAATCTGCAATATATCTACTCAAAAACTCGTACTTGTATCCTAAACGTGATTTTTCACATTGTATTAATTAAGTTAGTCCTAATATAGTATTAAAATAATTAAAATATAAAATTGTATTGTCTGCTTTTTGTTGGGCGTGGAAGGTGGTCCGCGTGGTTAAGATTTATACTTGAAAATAGTCCATGGCTCATAGAAGATTAAGAAACTGTCATGAATACATCATATATATAGAGAAATAAAGCCAAATACATTTTTAGTTAACAAAAAAAAATGTTAATTCGTAGTTTCGATTTCCAATTGACCCAATGGTAACCAAATTGTGCAATGTACCATAAATCATAATGTACACCTTACTGTAAAAGAATTAAACCGTGCAAAAGATTTTTTTTCAATGGGGTCTAAAATATTTTATTTTTAGGGCCATATAACTACCGCGGGGTATAGTTGGTCTGATATTTCAAGGGGGGGGGCTAGCTACAGCACTGGGTTAAACAATTTAATGGTCCAACTCATAAAATTACACCTAGTAAAGGTAAGTGTAAAAATAAATGGTTGTTTGAAAATTCAACTTGACTGTTTAATTTTGCTATTCATAAATAAAGTATAGCATTTTTTGTATAGGTTTTCCCACTTATTTCGAGTTGTTTTTTCTACCAAAGTTGCATCACATTTCCGTAGACACGCGCAGTCCACAAGTCGTTAGTTCGTAGTCACTACTTGCAACTCCAAACAGCCAATAACCTAATCATCACCAAAATAATACATTTCTCATATTTTAGGTTATGAACTCATTCGTCTACAGCCTCATCAATCTTCATAGATCATAAAATACCTATACTTAATATTTTAAAAGATAGTCTTCCAGTGTTGATATTATTAAGACACTAGGTAGGTAATCTCGATTAGTTACTACTCAAAAAATTAGTTTTCACCAAACTTTGGGCGTTCTCATACTAAAATCAAAAATAACTGAGGAAACTTTAACAGTACAGTGTACACTGTATAGGTACACGATGAATGTTGTAGTTGTACACAATTTTCACCATAATAAAAAACACAAGACGCTTCTAATAGAAATTGTTTTTATTTAATATGTAAACTATTAACCATTTTAATAACCGTAATTAATATTAGGTATATGCAATCAGTACGTTTGGTTTGATTTCATTTACAAATGAAAAAAAATTGTACAAAAAAAAAAATATAATGTTTAGTTATATAAATAAATGGAACTTTCACATGCTAACTTATGCGTAGATACATACGAATATACAATATGCGGTAATTTTAAAATTTAGCATGCAATATGTTTATATCTTAGAGCTTCTTCTACAGTCTCGTTGCCCTTTTTTTCATACAAGTTAGTGCCAAGCTCTAAAGTATAAAAGACTTTTAAACTACTCTCCTAAGTAAATAAAATAAATATATTATAAAAAAGAAAAAAGATATAAAATACAAATAATTTATTTTTTGAAATATAAATTGATAAAATTACTAACAGTTAAAAAATTATACAGCTACGTGTAATGAATATATCGTCTTTTTTTTATTAGAATTTTTGGAATGTTGTTTAATTATTATTAAAATTTACAATGGAATCATTATCATCTATACAGTATGCGACAATAATATTATATATTTAATAGAAAAATAAACTAAGCACAGTCAAATATTTAAACTTTACATATTATTTTGTTCAACTACCTACTTAGTTTGATTTGGAAAACTAAATTCGAATTGAAAATTTAGTTTTTCTATTACAATCCACCTATAATGTATTGTAACACGCAATACAAAACGTTCAATAGAACCCCGTGGCAGACTATAATATAATATTGTTACAATAATTAGTAATTATTTTTGACATAAAAAAAAAAAAAAATACAATACAATAAATAAACATCTCAGTAACATATTTGATCACATTACTTATCTTTACTTTTAGAATAACAAGTAAATGTAAAGATGTCAACTAGCACTATTACAATAATAGTTTTGCCAGAGACATTAATATTTAAATTATTGAACGAGACAATCTATACAATAATAATACGTTTGTCAAAGGTCTTCACATGGTGAATTATTGAAAGTTAAATCATAATCTTAAAAAGGGCTATGGAGAATTGTATTATTCCCTTTTCATCTATTATTCTATGACGTGAGTATCGATTATTATTAGATAAAAATTACTGTTGAAAATATTATGGTGTAATAAATGTAATAAAACTACCAAATGGAACGTGCTCAAACGCATATTATTATAATAATAAATTTATTTTTAAAGTCAACATTTTTAAATGATGGTTCACATCCGAAATTCGAATATGGATTGGATATGTAATACCCACGAACATATAGTCACTTTATAAATTTGAACACATAATATTATTATATGAAACATAATTTGTAATAAAAATAAAACAAAAAATATTTACACAATTATTTATTTTTTTTTTTTGAAGATATAAGTAATTATTTGAATACAAATGAAATATTATAATTCTAGTAATCGGTACCAAAAAATAATTGATGATGAGCGTAGATAATAAAGAAATATTGATAGGACACACACTTTGGAGAAATGTTCATTGGATAGTGTGACACCAAATTTCATAAGATTGGACAACGATTTTCACCATGGGAGAATTAAAAGATAAGCTTTTGAGGCATTATCATATTGTGAATAATATGGGGCCCATTGTTTCACCTGTTTGCGTACATTAACTCAAAAAACTCCATATATTGTTTGCCTTTCTTTGCGAAAAAACATAAACTGTCCAGCTCACTTCTCCAAAAAAAAAATTGAGGCACCAAAGGTAGTTGACATGGGACTGTCCAATCCATTCCTTATTTATCTATGATATTGAGTTCATACTACATAGTAGAGATTTGAATCCAACAGCTGTGTACTTGTGTTATGTTTCATTTTAATAATAAATAAAAAATAATAATAGATGCCTACTTAATTATAGTCTCGTTGGAATAATTCACTACACGCTATGATAAAGGTTACAAATAATGTGAACGTAAATTAATAATCTTTAATTGTGCATTGAAAAATTATCATACTATGTTGGAAGACAGTAAAATATATTAATGTGATAAAAATGTGCAAAAAAAATGTATGTGGACTAATCATATTTTAATATAACTTATATATTCAATGTGGGTAAATGATGTAACATTTTTGTTGAAATTAACATTTTTAACAAGAGTAAGGAGGTAGTAACTTCCTTGCTTGTGATGTTTAGTTGAAAACAAACAGTTGGTTTGATTTAAGACAAAAAAAATCGTTAATATTTGATAATGTGTATAGTAATATTAATGGAAAAAAAAAATCGGAATTCTAGATAAATTTTTTTGATATTATAAAGACGGGTAAATTAGTTTTGTTTCCTATTAAAATTGGTGTCTATTTAAGTTTATGTTTAACCTAACGTTTAATTTTTAGCTATAAATAAACGAGGGCAACATAATATTTACAATTTTTAAACTTTATAATAATAATAGTTAGTAAAAAGCAGAATATAATAATATATATTTATAAGAATTTTAAATGTTAAAACAACAGAAATACGATAAAATAACTATTTAAAAATAATAAATTGTAATATTTAAGACATAATATTTTATGTGGATTTATTCTTTAAAAAAGTAAAATCACTAGAAAAATAAGTATGTTTATAATAATATTATTTACAACATGTCTGCTTTGGTTTTGGTAAATAAAAAAGTAAAAAAATAAAACAAAACAATACAATTAAGACGAGTAAACTTTGGTGGTTATTATTTACAGGACAAAAATTGACATTTATCTAATGATAATAATAATAAAAAAACAACCTGACTTAATAGGTATAAGTTATAAGTAACTTTACTAAATTAAATCAAAGTCTTAATATTTGGCGAAAAAACAATAAACATATTATATAGACTATGTTTATAAAATAAATTACGTAATTAAAGCGTGTAAGTTATGTTCTAAATGAAAAAAAGAATATATATATATAAATATTTATAAAGACTTTCAAAATAACTATCACATATTTTTAAATTTTTCAGCAAATCTAAAAAAAGTTATATCTATCTTAACTTTTCTAAGTAAAAAAAAAAAAAAAAAAACCGACTGGGAAATAGAAACTTATGTCGACGTCTATGACATAATAATAATAATAATAATTATACATAAAAGTGGATGATTACATATAAATATAATTATAATATAACATATTATAAACGCGTCTACAACTGTCTACCGACGAAACGACGACCACGTTCGATCGGTGTGTGTCTGTGTATACATTGTGTCAAGTCATATAAGATGAATAATAATAATAATAATTGATAATAATAATTACTATCATCACTGTAAATGGAGCAAAGTCGTCGCCAAATTAGTGTGTACAGTGTCTACACTTAGTCTTGGAAAAAAAAAATATATGTTTAGCCAATCGCGACGACAGACGCGACTGCAGTCGACCACCTGCACCCCATCACACGCCCGCTCTGTATATGAAACTGCACGGAGCCTGTGGTTGGGGTTGTTGCAGTTGCAGCTGTTGCAGTTGCTGTTGCTGTTGGAGTTGTTGTTGCTGTTGAAGTTGTTGTTGTTGTTGTTGTTGCTGCTGCTGCTGTTGTTGAATCTGTTGCTGCTGCAGTTGCAGCTGTTGTTGTTGCTGCTGCTGCTGCTGTTGCTGTTGCGACGACGGTTGTTGCTGTTGCTGTTGCGGTGTTATGCGTGCGGCCAATGAAGGCGATGCCGGCGGTGACGGCGACGAGCTCGGAGGGGAAGGCGATGACGAGCTGCTAGCGTTCGCGTTGTGTTGACGCGGTGGTCTTGCCCTCCCCTCCGACGCACCTCAGAGGTACACTTTTTTCACGCTGCGCGTCGTCCCGAAACCGTCGCGGTGGTGATAATTGTTTCCGTCGTTCTGCAAGCACACACATAATTTTACGTTATTGTAGTAATATTATTTTTGATTTATGCGTTTTTTTTTACAGTTAGAAAAAATTAAAATTTATTGGACCTATCTTGTATTTTGACCAGAACTCAGAATTTACCATAAGAAAATCTTGAATGGTGGTAACATGCCTGCAGAAACACAAAAACAGAGAGCTCCTGCAGATAAGGTAATTCCCTATACGGGTTGTTGGACAGTCTCTTTCTTGCAAAGATACATAAGTACTTGTAATTTTTGTTTTGTTTTATCAAATATAGAAGCCGGATGTTTGGTGAAAATGGAATTGTATTGTCTTTGCGCGGACCCCTTCAATTCTCAGGTGTGCTGACGGTAGTCCGAGATTAACGAAATAACCCTTATTCTATATTTATGCTCTACAAATTAGTAAATATATTGACGGATTTTAAACGCACTAGGTTATCTAGTGACACTAACCAAGCCCCTTAATTAACTCGTTTCTGAATATTAGTAATCGAGAGAATCAAATTTTGTTCGATATTTTTATTTTAAAAATCCAAGTCGGTATTTTATTGGGTAGTACGTTATCGTATACTATGGGCGATGTGTCGAAACGTATATTATCATCAGGACGTCAGCTGTCGAAGGGAAGAAGAAGAAAAATCCATATTATATTCGTTTGAAAAAACTCGCAGTTACATTATGTACGCACGGATTATGATACAGATATTATATATAGTACCTATACCAATATGTTCATATACATGTTTGTATATATATATTATATTACGTTAGCCACATTTATTACAGAGAATTTTTTTATTTTTTTTTCTGCAATACGACGCTGGAATAACATTTTTGCAGGATTTTAAGGAAAAAGAGGGTTATATTTTTTTAAACTTCCGTATAACCACGAGTATACCTAAAAATACATGTACCTAATAATTGTAAATACAACTGATGCGAAACGTTGGTATATATAGCTATAATTAACGAAGGTAATGAACTAGGTAAGAACTATGCAATACATTTTGTTCTAATGAAATAACAAAAAAATCATTTAAAATTATTTTTGCCTATATCATTATGGCAAATTTCACGATAATCTATTCAAAATGAAACCAGAGTCGGGTGGCGACAAGACGTCAACCGCTTCGATAGCCTGCTAGCGACTTCTGCGCAGAAGTTGTCCGTCCCCGGCACTGATCTCATTTTATATAAAATCAAGTTATAAGTATAGGTAATATTGATTTGAAGAGTAAAATACAGTTCGTTGTAAGCATTTGTCAGTTTGTTTTAATACATCTCCCGGGCACACCCTTATTGATACGTCACATAGATCGTTTCGATTATCACCGAGCGCTTGGATCCATGCCCCCCCCCTTAATTTTAATAACTTTGTATAGTTCTATAATTTGTAAAAACAAAAGGTATGCGCTGTGTTATCAGAAGACTCCCCCCCACCCCGGTTTGTAGTTCTTCGGGTGTCGTTGGTAGCTGTACAGGTTACTGCACAATTTTAGACTTATTGTGAGTTATGCGATGTTTACTTTGTGTTCCCTCTGCGACCGAAGCGTTCCGAAATGATCGCGGATATTCTGCTGCTGCGAATAGTAACTGTCTTGAGCGCCGTTCGGTTGGAACTGGGTGAAGCCCATCGGGGGCATCGGCGCGTGTCTCAGCGTGGCTTTCGGTGAACCGTGTATCACCTTGTTGGGAGGTATCAACACGGGCTCGGCGTACGTGACCTCCTCTTGGGGCAGCAGTTTGGGCTCTCCGAGTCTTCTCCTGCAAACGCACGACAACATTAAACGAAGCATAGGTATGCATACATATGTACATGATAGTTATTTTAAAATTCGACACTATAGTTATCACTTCGGGCATGGTTAGGTATCATATTTTAAATTATTTTCTAAACGAGTCTAAAAAATCCACCCTGTATAATACTATATAGATAAGTGGTATCCTGCGGGCACGTATACGGAAAAAATTCCGTGGCAGAGAGGGAGGGAGGAATGGGATGAACCCCAAAACCACCGCCTGTATACACTCTAGTTGGCGTATGAACGATAATAACTTAGAAGAATGTATCCACATCGTTTAAGAGGAGCGTATTTAGGACCTCTGGGCTCCAACAACGGTGTTTTTATTTTTATCAACAATAATTATCGTCAAAACGGTCAACCATTCGCAAAATTAACACTTCGCAAGTGTAGGTATGTGTTTTCCAAGCGACAAACGCACAGGTCAACCGAAACCGGATAATATAGTTACGGTCGTTTTACTATTATTGTTTGATATAATTATGTCGAATGCGTATACAGGGCTGGTCACACAGCTAGTATATCGGACGATATTATATTTTGACACGTCTATGCGGTAAATCGCCAATATAATATATACCTACTACGTACCAATATATATGTATATATATATATAAATATAGGCAGGATATTTTATGTATAGTATTGTATACAGTCGCTATTATCATCGCAGCACTATAATTGATATACATATATATATATATATGTGTGTGTGTGTGTGTGTGTGTGTGTGTGTGTGTGTGTATAAATACATAAATATATATAAACCTAAAACACAATGCACACAATGCAAACACACACACATATTATATACATCAGATCCAAACGAATTATTATTATTATTACAGTATAAGGTTCTCAACCCCTTGTAGTGTGTACCCGTACATATACATATAATAGTACATACATACATGTGTATATAGTTCCCTTGGCAACGCTATTATTGTGTGTGTGTATATATAATATTCCACAAAGTCTGCCAAAAGAGTGGTACCGTTAGTAATACATATAAAAGCTTCCCCGAAGGGTGTTTATAATTACTTCGTATAACTATCGCTTGTTTTTTTTTTTTTTTTTAATGAACTATAGTAGGAATTTTTTTTTTTTGAGTACGAAGCTAGTTTTTTTACACGATACAACATTGTGGGTTATCTTATTTTTGTTTTATGCGATTCCAAAACTACTGTGAGTTGTATATTTTATACAACTATACGGACATAGATGATGACGCATACAATGTTAGCCAAATAAATTGATACTCAAACAATTAATACAGATAAAACTTTGAAATTCTCATAACGCATTAACATGTTAACAGTAGGTTATAATATGTATCATTCAATATAAACACATATTATGCATGCCTAGACATACACTATTACTCGGGCACCAATAAGGTACATTTTGCAGGTAGAAAATTCGCCCACAAAATTGGTCTAACTGGAAACTATCAATCGAAACAGTATAGTTATTGATAAAGTATAAAATAGATGACAGTTTGTCTAAATATTTTAAAGACTAATAACGTTATCCCTACGTTGAAGTGTCAAATCAATTTTACGAACTGTTATTTGTTACTATACTGTATCATTGTATGAATAACTTAAATATTTCAGTCATTATATAAAATTTACAACGTAGTCTTCACCCAACGGGTCTTCATCCTACGGATCGGGCATATTATGCTGTATTTAAATACATAAAATATTATTTCTAATATTTCTAGTGTTTTTAAAATAAAATATGAACTTTGTGAATCAAAATAAAATTGTATTATATTATCTGATAACTAGAAAGTTGATGCAGTATTTGGTTAAATTATAATAATCGACATTTTTCTATAATTCTTTATGAAACTATTGTAGCATACAGATAGTTTTATTCAAAAAAGCAGATACACAGTAATACAGTATATATACTATATTTGTATATTATCGAAGTATATTCAGATAATCGAATTTTAACCATTGATTTTTGGAACGTAACTAGGTTATATAAAAAAGGTAACTGGGACGCAAGTAGGTTATGACCTCTTTTTGACCTTTTTGATCCAGGCTCCATTTACCTATTACATAAAATCTAGGATGCAAGTGGTATGCACCGATATATATATACTCGTATATTACTTGTTAAATTATGTGAAATTCATGTACATACACATTAAATAGGTGTAATGGCTCTTACTGCGTGTACCACCGTAAATAATAATTTTTTACGCCTATTAATATAAATAGTAATTTTAAAAGTCGAATTTCTTTTATTTTGATTATGCACTCACACAGGAAAATTGTTAATTTTTAACTAAGCTGTAAAATATAACAGTTTACGAATTTAGTATACATTTGCATACAAATTAATTACTTTGTATTTTTTAAAAACGCGAAAAACATATTAGTCTTTGGTTAGAGTATAAAACTAATAAATACAGACATAAACGGGTAATAACTACAAAAAATACCAGGCAATTTCTGGAAAACATGTTGGAAACAATTATTTTCTGGAACAAACACAGTGAAACACTGCAAAATATATGTTACCAGCCATGTACGAAATCCGGTCATTATATGAATATTTTACAAAATATGTTTGGTGTTTTTGATGAGGTAATAATTATTTAAACATTTTCTATATTAGCCGGGCATTTTAATAGAATGCTCGAATGCCCAGGAAATAGATATAGCGACCGATTATAACATATTCATTTATAATTTGTTGGTATTACTAACGACTAAAACACTCTTGGAGAGCACATATGCCAGGAGTACCTAGTCAATAACCTACTCCAAACACCGCGAATACACCCTTAAGCCTTTATCTGTAAGTATTACAATATAGGTAGACAGTAAAATATTATACAGAATATACTGAATAACGGTTTAACGGTATAAACGAAATACAGTGCGCATGAAAATGTCACGAATGCCATAACTCATAAGTATTGCAATAAATAATAATACAATCATCTTAACTCGTTCATTTTTTTGTTTATTGTTTGAATAAATATTAACACTCACACTACTAATCGAATTTTTTTCCCATCTAGTTTGTAGTCAATCTATAAATAAAATTCATAGATTCATATTTTACATTTCCAGCCGGATCTCAGTCTTTGCATAAAATCATATTCCTACATTTACCGTCATCATAATGGATAGGTATTCTACACATAGTAAGTGTATTTTTTTATCTGCCCAAATTTTTATTTTGCCCCAGCTTTACACTGCCGAGTTGTTAACACTCGAACTTTTAAGGCTTTATATAAAATAAAAGGTCACTTGAAATATATATTGAATTTATACAAATTTATCTTGATTATTGTATAATATGTATAACACGAATTATTAAAATTAGTAAATAACAAAAGGTGATTATTGGTTTGACTAATATTATAGGTCAAGTGATTTTACCACAAACCGTTTTAAATGAATTCTAAAGATTTTATTAACACAAGACATCAAAAAACCGTAATAATTATAGCAACAACATTAACGTGTAAATGGCATTTTTTGTAATTTCTATTTTACAAAATAAAAAAAATTGAATAATACTTTACAATAAATGGTTATTGTCGATTTATGATTTATGATGTATACCTACTGGGTGATAGTCTAATCATATTGACCACCGATTTTGCACGAATATTATTTGATTGTTTTATCTTTTTATCCAAAAAAACGCCAAATTTATAGTTTATCTAAAACTTGAGCCATATATGACCAACTTAGAAATTTGTGCATATACAATTTGTTGGGACATGATATGTTTTTCATAGTGAAAATACTGTAAAATTTCATCGGGGCAAAAGAAAAAAATATAAAATAAATAAACACGGTTATATTATAGGGTCATTGATTTTAAATGATTAAAATAATTTTTGTAATTTTGAACAAAAAGTTTAGAGTATTTAATAAATAATAAATAATATCCAACAAATAACGCAAAGGTTTTGCAACAAAAACCAACAATAATATAATTTTGCATCATAGGGATTTTGAGGGATATTTTTAATTTATTTAATGTCAACATATTTTCAATCAGAATGGCAAAATGTATGTAAAATGTTAATTTATATTAAATAAATAGTTTTAATAGTTATATTAACACAGTTTAAAGTTTAAATGAGTAGAATAGCAGACCACCACTTTTTAGGAGTACCTACCCCTGATCGGTCCTGGCCATTTTACTTTACTGGTCTAAACTGTAAATGTTTGTATGAATGAAAAAAAAAAACTAACTATTCAATGTTCAATAATAATTGCACATACATCCAACATTGTTTGAAAACTATTACCCTTTTAACTATAAAATTAAAAATATAATTAAAATATGTTTTTATAAATACACCATACAGAAACCTTTTTTTTGTTCCTATATTATATAATCCCCTAAATTTACTAGGGAAAATTAGTGTAAATGGACCGCTTCGTATGATATCAAGCGTGTCGACGGGTACTCACGCATTCATATTGTGCCGTTGTTCAAAATATTCATATTCGGTGTCCGGGTATGGTAGGTTGTCGTCTTCGCTCTTCGTGCACCGTCGTGCGCATGCGTAACCGGCCAGGAAACCAGTAAGAAGCGCAGCCAAACAGGCGGCGAATACGGCCGTCAGTACAGTTTCCATGGTGTAGCTGCCGTCCTGGCGTTCGTCCACCCTTACGTCGTCATTGTTAGCACCTTTAAGAGAGACAAAAATAAGAGATGAAAACGAGAAATTCGTCTTGGGAAACCTGGTGAGGAACGTCCGACCATTCATTCGCTAAATATCAGCCAAATAATCATAAAAAATAAACTCTTTAATATAATACCGATATATATATAGGGCAGAGTAAATTTGTATTGTTGTCATACGAGGCATATTAAGGACGAAATAATCATTTTTAATACCTGCCTATTTAACTATGCACCTTAATTAGACATTAAAATATTGTAATTTGTTATAAATCAAAAATAGTTATTAAAAAAAGAAGTGTACATTGATATGTGCATCGGTTTTAAATTTGATTCAGTTCTCAACATCCCAGAGTACTAAGTGAAATCACGGATTAAAATAGCAAATCATCTTCGTTCAAGTATATTTATAATATTCACACTAAAAAATTTTCAGTGAACAATTTTCACCCATACCGAAGTAAAAAAAAAAAAAAATTAAATTAAACAACAATAGCTGCAGGGCAAAAAAAAAGCAAATTGATGAAATGTATTCGGGACGGTAGCTGCGGGTCGAAATGCTGTAAAAAGAATAATCCCGTTTTAAACGTATGGTAATTCTAATTCATGTCCCCATAATTTATGCACCGACGCTACACATTTTACGTACAGCTTCGGAGCGTATATGATCTGAATCGCGTGTACACCTATGTAAGTGTTGTTTCAAAATTAGCCAGAAAATGTATATGTTTTGTAATAAAACAAAATGCAGAGTACCAAAAACAAACGGTCTGACCCTTTTCGCCAATCGCAATTTTTTTTTATACACACGACCGTTGAAAACGCCGCGCGTTTAAATAAATCGATTTTCCATCACCAAGAAACTTTGCAGGGTGTAACGGGGTGCTTTTGAGACATACTGCGTATAATAGGTTCCTATACATATATCCAGATTGTATACAAATTATGTATGTATATACAAGCACACATCTGCAGTGGCGTCGATCCCATATTATGGTGTACGTATGGTGGGTTTCACCTACGACAAATGCTGTAGTAGGTAGTTCAAGGGTGGTTGGTCATGATGGGTGGTATTTTTTATAAAACGAACTTCCGGGGCGGGTGGGTGGTGGGTATACTACTACAATATGGAAAAAATCGTCATGTAGGTACCATAGATCGGCTCCACTGTAGCATATCATTATTATCATCATACACTCACCGAACGGTGGAGCTTGGTCATCTTGCGAAAGGTTTATCGTATCGCCAGCGTCTTCGATCGATTTGCCAATAGCGCCGCTCTGGGCGTTTGAAGCGAATCCGATGCCCGAGTCTTTTCTGCTGTTAGACGCTGAAAGAGTGGCAGGAAAAAAATAATAAGTCAACTTACCGGAAACGAATTTTGTCCGCAGACGTTAACGTAACGTAATATCACGTTTTTAAATCGGACGCGTTCGTTAACGATAAACACTTATATTATTATCTCGAAGAGTAAAAGGTTTATTAAAACATGCCTTGATGAGAACTCTCGAATGATTGGAGTATGTAGTAAGTATAAGTAATTCTACACAAAATGTTCGTGCAACACGATCTTTTATAACTACGCTATACATTTGAATATACTTATATGATATAACTAATTAACTATAGGAACGTATATATTGTTTCGATGTACATTTTGATACGATATTCTGTTCCCATATCAAAATCCTCAAAAAGATATATCATCCTACATCAAAAGATTAAATTTAAAATGTATGTTAAATTTGAAAAAAAATAGAACTATGTCCATAAAAAATGTTCATTATGACAATTTTTAAAAGAAATTGTACTTTTCCATTTAAAGAGTGTTTATTGTGAGGATCATAGTCCAAGAAATGTATAAAATGTACATACTTTTTAAACCTATTGTAGCCCAGAACCAGAAGTAGCTATTAGATATACGTGTAGATAATACAATCATAGAAATATTATAGTTAACTTTTAGGATACATTTAAAGTTGTACGCAAAATATATGAACAAAAACAAACAGATTTACTCAAAAACATTCTATTTTTATTAAATAATAATTAGTATTTTTGATAGCGAATTTTCAAGAAACTAATTTTAGCTTTTTTTGAGTTTTAACTTTTAATTAGTTATTATATTATTTTAATTATTATTATTATTTATTAAAGAATAGTAATAAACTAGTTATAAAATATTATATAGGTGTTTAAAAATGGTAACCATGAATCATATACATAAAACTATGAGTTGTCAAATCAAGTGTTGTTTGCTTAATAAATAAATAAAGCAGGATATTAGTATTATAATAATGTGCAGCTAAAATAACTGAATTATGTGAATTTGACTCTTTTGTTCAGTTATGACGTTCTCTAAATCAATTTTGTTTGTTTCCAAATTATAGTTCAATTAATAATTAAATGCATATCATATAATAACCTTTTAGTATAATTCCCACCCATATTGCGCGCAGTTGATAACTTTAAATGTCTATCATTCGGTAAGTTAAATACAGTAAAGCAAAAAATTGAAATCACTTCATTTTTATTTCTCCCCAAAACGCTGTTATTTTACAAAAATAAATCACGAATGAAACTGAAGGCGAAATATTTGCAGTTGTTTCTGGTAACTATTTGGACTGCAGACGCGCTCTGTTTACACCTATAATTAATAGTATTTTATGGCGATTCGTTGAACGTAAGACACTCATTTGCATTAAAAAGTGTTCCATAAGCGTTAAATTAATCACCCCACCTACATATATATTATTATTGAGGATTCGTCGTTTTGAAATATATTAAATCGTTCTCACCCGAAGGGCATTCGTGGTGCAATCCGGTCTGAATGTTCTGGATAAATTCTTGCCATCGGGAGGTAGGCACTTCGCGCATCGAGCGGCATTTCTTGTAGACTTTGTCAAACGCACAATACGGATCTTGGAGACCAATGCATTCGCTGAGAACAACGGAATCGGGACGTCATTATAATATTATCGGTGGCTGCTGATGCAGGGTTCTGGGGTTTTATCATTACAATTGTTATGACGTTTTTGTATGCACAGCTGCAGGGCGACGATAACAATCGAATAAATAATAAGAGAGCTGGGGGATATGTAATAAAGTGGTAAGACGTATTGTCAGAAATTCTACGGTGATTGAGATTAATTATTCCGTTTTCGCTATAAAAAAACGTCCGATATATTATAATATGTATGAATTATTTTATGTCTTAAGACATAATACATTATTATACTTGTAAGAGTTTTCGAGAAATTAAAGCTATCACGACTCGACAGCATGGTACAAGTTATTAAGAATTTTCTTTAGAATTTTATCGTTCTTTTTCTTCCTTTACGCAATTTTCAAAACTATTTACCAAAGTAAATAATAAAAATATTACTTTTATTATTTGTGTTTGAAAAACAGTTTAGGAGTAAAGTGTTGAAATTTGAATAAAATAAATATTTACGAATTTTTATATATATACATACAAACACATTATTATGAACGAAACATAATCAAAACTTTGATTACCTAACCGACTTTTAAAATAAAAAAAAATAAAAAATCTTCAGCAGAGTAAAAGTTACGGCGTAGAAAATATGTTCTCGTGAGGTTATATATAGTTTGTCGCGACAAAGAAATGTTAAATCCAGGGTTGATTAACACGGCTATGCACAACAGTTATAATAATTATTCGTTTCAATTCCGTTCGGCCTCAATAATATCCGTTATCCGAACATTATAAGTACAAATATTATTTATGATGATGAAAACGGATAAATATAATTATAATTACCCGCAAGTGACTATCAGCGCGTTTTGACATCTGTCGAGCGGAAGCGATACCACTTGTCTGTCGGTAATGACCAGCAGTCTCTTGTCTTCGAGCTTTATGTTTCGCACGGCCGTGGTAGTTCCGGGACCACCGAACTCGTACAGCTCTTCAATGACCACCGGGCTCACTTTTTCGTTAGTGTCCGCGCTGGCCGCGTTTATTGCTTTCAGTACTTTTCCGCTATCTGCAAGCCGAAAAAAAACGAATATATCATACATTTATAAGTACATAGAAGCAGCACACCTATGTGTACAGGGCGCACACACACCGCGAATTGTTCGGGAATAAATGCCGACAAATCTTGGGGATAATGTGCCCTCTGTATACGACGTCACGAGTTATAAGCGTATTAGAATAATAATAGTATTAATAATTATGTGATGATATAAAATATTACTACGGTGACATGATATTATGGCGAATAAGGCACCGCCGCGAGTCAGAAACTCGAAAATCGAGACGATTGAAAATTAAACGGATTAAACGACAGTGTAAGCGGAGCGTAATATTATGCCTATATTATAATATATAATCGCTTCCAAGGCGTGAAACAAACACCCCGGTGAGTTTTACCATGAAATGCCATCCATATACCTATATCAAGAACATATACAGTCGTGTGAAATCAAACCGCTTATTCGTTAATATAATATATAATATGCAAGTATATATTATATACGCGTATGTTTTAAAATATTATACCAGGCGGGGTATAATTAATCGGGGCGAGATTAGGGTTTAATCCAAATTTAAAAAAAAACATTTAAATATGTACGGAATAAACACGCGTTAATATGGACAGAGGATTATTACATCACGTAAGGTCTATACAGTGATGTACTGCAAGCACAATGGTGCGTGTGCTGAGTATGATAATTTCTGATTCACAATTATACAGCAGTGTTATAATATATTACAATCATCGTGACCTAAATATGAAAATAAAAATAGAAGTAAATAGAAACATCGCAAGGTAATATTGGGTTTGAAATAACGGCGATACAGAAAATATATCATATACTTGCAGGACGCAAGAACAGCGAATACCGCAAAAACATAGGCTTCCAAAAGACTCCATTGATATGATAAGGGCTTTCAGTTGAAACATTGATGCAGAATTCGTACAATGGGGACCAGCAAGGAGCAAGTGACATTCGCAGACCGATTACACATATAACCGACTAAAATACATCCGCTGTGCACATAAATCTTGTTGTATATCATACTACGCTATACACATTACGACTAGGATTGATCCTTTTAACTGTCGAGTGGCGGAATGCAATGCGGATGCAGTCCTGACATTTAATCTATGATTTTATTACCTGTTCCGATGAAGAGGACGTCGTAGGTCTTTCCGTCGATGGCTTTCACTTGCGGATCCACAGCGATCACCGTGAACCTATAGCTGCATGGGCGGAGACAAACACAAATAGAGAAAAGAAAACCAAAGATAACGAATAAGCGATGTCAATATGAATTTATAATGCATCAGAAAACACTCAAACAGCTCGAGATTTGTGGGAACACTTACTTAACGCTTGTGCGGACAATGATTGGCTGTTGGTAGAACGACCGGACTGCCTCGTCCATCAGAGAATGGCTCTTGATGAAGTTCAGAGTGAGGTCAGGCAGCGTCCGGGAGTCGTTGGCACATTGGCCCGGTCTGGGGTCCGGCACCTTGGACCCGGGTACTGGTAACCAGTTGTTGTTCATGTAGGTCTGTTCCTTGAACTCACCCTCGAACGAATCGAGCACGTCGGACAGCGAGAACGCGCACACTGCCGACCCAGTGATGCTGTTGACCGGTGTCGTGAACACGCCGTACATCATGAAATGCTGTTTGGTGCCATATACACCTTGTACCAGGTCCGTCGATGATTCTGAGGAGGGAGAAACAAATTAATAAGCACACAGACACGACAAAATTAAGCGTAACGTTGGAGTTTATTTCACATTGTTACTGCGACGTTTATCGTAAATAACCGTAAACTACGCTCAAATAAACGCTGGTACATAAATTCACACAGGCATGTCAGTAGGCATCGAACGCTCAGAAAATCGTTAGCATAAATACAAAATAAAAACCAATATTTAATTTGAAAAAAAAGACAATACCTAAACTGCAAAAGTTTTAATACTCGCGATGATAGATTCCAAAATATATAAATAAGTGTAATTTTTTACTACAATATCTATAAAATAATTATTTACAATAAATGCAAGTAGTGTTGTACGATGAATGTTAGGTTTATGATTGTGGGCGAGTGAACAGGCCTTTCATTAAACGCATTTCGGCATTACCAACGGTTTAAATTGCGAGAATTCTAAAAATTATTGATTTCAAATTGAATATCTTATAATTTTTCATGCTGCAATTAATGTAGGTGAGATGTATTTGAAGTCTAAAATAGTCGGTGCAATAGACGCCCAAATTTAAGACCAATTACATAGGTACATATGTATTTATATGAATTGCGTCTAGTTGCTTATATCAGTGAGAAAATGGTAAATGTATTCTACGGTTATTTTCCAAATCTAACATAATAAATAAAAACTAAATATTAACAATGTACCTACTACTATCATAATATTATATGCATAATGGTCGATTTAGTGACACCATATTATTAAACTATAAGCATAAACAAGACTTATATTTAATATATCAAGTGGACTAGTAGATACACTAAAAATTCAATAGTCCATAAAGAAATCGATGGCAAAGAAACAATTTAACATAATAACAAAAACCATCGATTATAGTAAAATACCTACTAGTTAAATATCATTGATGACACTAAAAATGTTTAATGCATGTTTTTACAATGTACCCTCATTCAAAATAAGAGTTTAAATTTATTGATTTTAAAATTTTTTATCGTCGAAGATTTTTAATGGATGGTGGTATTACAGGATAGCGTCCAGAGGTTCTCATAGGAACTATCTCGTTATCAAAGATTTCCCGATGGTTCTGGATAAGCACTGTTGCCGGGAATATAAATAATAATTAAATCTTATACTTTTATTGGTAATTATTTTTTCTAGCCTATTTCATAAACATAAGTTTAAATTATTATTTTATTGTAATAGAGCAACGGTATTATTCACGCCAAAATAAATATTAGTCGATCATATTAGTAGATATCCTGGTTATTATTAAAGATATATTACCTATATAATATACAATGACAATATACGATTATTGTTTTTGTGAAATGTTAATTTTGTTGTGTTTGTATTATCACTGTTTAGTCGATTAAAAGAAAATAACAAATCAATTGGTTTATTACTTTGAAGATAACTATATATGATTTTTATATGATAAAAACATTTGAAATACGTCATTACAGCATTACGTTTTGACATAATAATTGATTAGGTATCGCGAATTGTTCAGATATCCAATTTCCGAGAATAATATTCCTTCTCAGGATTTTCAGTCCATTTACATTCCCAGGAATCGCCCAACCCTAATCAGATGTCTGCACAGAGATTCAAATTGTTTGGCTAATGTGACTCAACTGTTCGTAAAATATAATCAATACTATATAGCGGGTTGCTATATATAGCGTTTCTGCCGACGCTGGTAAGCCGATAAAAAATCTAATTCTCATCCTTATTACATCGAACGTGTATTTAAAAAAAAAAGTCATGCCCCAAGTAATTAAGTTTGAGGCACGTGAATAGTATAATAATTGAAGAAAACTGTGTCGATCGAGGGCTTGAGTGTGGATGTGTCTTATTTTACAAAGTGTATATGTTACATGCGAGTTTGGACACACTCGGCTGATTAAGTGGTTTTTGAGTGTCATACCTTTTGAACACTCGAGCTCCAAAGTTAAAACTGTTTACAGTCTACTTAATGCGGTACGAACCTACTTATAAATGTGTATTAATAAATGTCAAATCCATATAAATATCCGGCCTATTATGCGAGGACGTTACTGGACCGTAGTTCAAAGGGAGGGCGATTTAGAAAAAAAAAACCACTTATCATACTAAAAGAAATACTGAGCACTTAAACGAACACTGGAATAAAGGAATCTGGATTTTCGAGATGTTCAAAACATAATAAGGAGGTAGTATAAAATTAACATTATACAGTACAACAATTTCAACATTTTGTGTTCATCATACCCAAAACCGTGATTAAGTATACTATGCAATTATATACAAACAAATATTATGACGTATTGTACAGGGATGATGATTTATGAACTATTTAGTTGAATATATACTCAACTCTAATATGATCTTTAGATCACTCGAGCATTTCGAAATCAGAATTTGTACTACAAACGCACGATAATAATTATTGAACACAAAAGTTAATAAACGGGTGACGCCGAGCCCGGCCTTTAGTGAATCATCTCGTGTATCATTAGCATTTTTATAGAGATAATATTCTGTAATAATAACGACTGGAATTGCCGGAAGAAAATTGAAACTGTTTGAGTACTGCTGCACAGAAGCAGCTAGTAGCTGCAGCAGTGTATATACAGACCGGGGTGTATACGCGTTCGATTTTTTTTTTTTTTCGTTATATATTATAATACACAGCGCTTTGTAGTGTAAAATATATACAGAGTGTACACGTGCGACGCGATTACAATATTATTATGTACTGTAATGCGCCGCATACGGGGCAAGGTTCGGTGCCATCATCCCCTATCTAGACTCGAGGGGAATACGAAATTGTATTAGGTACTGGAGAAAATCGAGCTTTGGCATATATACGCACGCTGCAGCGTATATTATCGAGCCACAGCGGAAAGGGCGATTCTAAGAAAACAGGATGTTATTATTATATTATTATTTTCTACGGAGAATATATCCGTAATACTATATCCACGGATTATCATCCCCGAGTTAGGGCTAAAATTCGATTTATCATAAACATTTTTTTGTTAATCAAATAGTCCGGTCATTGACACATTTGAACATAGTTCAAGTACTTCAGTAGACAACATAGTCTAGTTGTGTAATGGCAATATATAATTAGGGTTCTGAATATTAACGACGATCGTTTATGACACTTTTATACCGAGAATCGGCTATTTTTTTTAATCCGTTCACCACACACCCCCCGCATAAACTGATGTCCAGAATTTGTTTTACGAAATGTACGTTATGACTGGCGAGGTACTTGAAACAATTCCGTAGACAGATTCAATTTTCTCACCGGTATAGCATTTAACATAAACATTATATTGTGTCTATGGAAACACTCGCGGAAAGCGTGAGATATATTATAATAATGATTATAAGTAGTATACCCACCACCCGGAAATACCAACTACCATTGTATCCGTCAAATATGTTGAAAACATGTTAAGCAGCATATTATGTGGAATGTTTTCGATCAGAAACCGAATACCTATAACTAAAACAATATCTAATGAAATGTATCTAATGACAACACTCAGAAATGCGAATAAGTTTAATATTGTATAAATGATAATTGTGTACTAAATAGTAAAACATGTAAACTTATATTGTATCAAGTACAGTTCAAAAGCAATAATAATATCGTTCTTGAGATTAAAAAAACTTGTAGTTTAAAAAAAAACACCATAAAATGAAATTCAAAAAAATCTTTGTTTTCTTGTTTGGATTTAAAAAACTATTTCTTTACAGTACATTTACGTATAAATATTATTATTGTTTATTAAATGAACACATTTTGTACAAGTCCAATATAGTTTATGCAGTGAAACATAATAGAGTTACTTTGATAATTAAGTTAATAGTTTAATTATTTTTCCACAGTTAGTTTGAAATTGTTTGTGTTAATAGTTTAAAGTATTTCTTGTCTGCAATCGCCTGTAATATTAATACACACAATGCTCACAGTAATTGAAACCAACGAATGCACACAAGTAAAACGGTATAGGTATGAAAACATAATTGAATTCATAGAATTAATCAATATTGCACATCACAATGTACAATACGACTCGATGTAAATGCGGTCAAATAATTATTATAATATCGTACATTTTATAATAGTTGGTAGGTAGTATACTGCTGATACAATAAGAGAAATTCGATAGAAATCATGATCGATCATATTATAATATACGTACAAATCGTAGTAGGCACATATTTTGACGATCGGGTGGTCAACAACCGAATTTCGAAGCGGTCAGACACAACATATACACCTATACCTAAGTATAATAGCTGGACCGGAAACAGCAGTATATAGGTGTTCCTACCAACGTGTTTTGTGTATATTTTATTGACTCGACGCTGAATAATATCTACACGAATGGTTGAGCGTCTATATTAATACATTCGTCATTGTACTTGGGCCGTAGCTTTAAATGCCGTACATATATCGCGAGCGGAGAAGTGCAAAGGGAGACACATAAAGGCCGCGCACGTGAGAGAAAGACAGACGGAGTGAGAACAAAAGAAGTTCAGCAAGGCGAAAGTGGTTTTATAATTAAAACCATGCATAAGCGGGTAACCTTTAATGTGCTCGAATAATTTTTCCGCGGGTGGAAACCCCATATCTCTTTCTCTGTTTCTGCCTCCCTAAGTATTTTATTCGTTTCATATAATGGCAGCGGTGGACTTTTTTTTCCCCCTCGGTAGTTTGAGGAAAATGAAAAATAATAATTAGTTTAGGGAAAAAAAAATAGACCGTTTTCCTTTCTCGAGGTTTTTATATTTATTTATTTTATTTTATTTTTTATTATTTTTTGGAATGGTGTAGCAACGAACAAGAACACGATGTTCAAAAAGTTATTCTATGAAAACTTCAGTTTCAGTTCAATTACTTATTCGTCTGTTTTACTTTTCCGCTGGGCACACAAAACGTGACTTTTTATTCATAATAAAATCACCTCAAACGATTATTTCCTTTCATGTCCTCGGGGAGGTACGATAATATCAAATATAACCGCTTTGTTTCTACTTTTATTTCTAATCAATTTTGTTCACGAGATAAAATTTCTTTTAAAGCTATGATGGTTAAAACACTACGATTGTATCTGTGAGTAAATTACCAAAATATTTTCCACCATCGCACATACAAATATAAACAATAACTAATATGAAATAAGTTTATTTAAATAGGTACCTAACCGACACTCGACAAATAAAATGACAGTGTTATAATCTATATCCCCAATATTTATCAGTATATTTTAGATAATCAACTAGGTAACTGGAAAGTAATTTGTTAAGACAAATTTTAAATAAATCAGAAAAAACAATTGCAATAAAATGTGAGTAAGGCATTTGACATTTTGAATATAACATGGTTTATTTAAGCCTTGAATGAGTAAATACCTATAATTATGGTTATTTTACGTATATATGTACATTTTTTTATTTTAAAATTGTGGTATCCACCTTACTCAATATGGCCATACAATGAAACCATATTCGTACAGCATACCAATGAGATCAATTATAGCGAATGGATAATGAATAATCATGTTAGTTTCAGTCATATTTTATTTTATATTATTATAATATACATATATGTTATTACGTCATAATTTAACAAAAGTTATTGATCTCGAATCGAAAATCCATAAGATGCATTCGGCATGAACTGTATAGAAATATACTAAGAACTGGACATTATATTTATGATATATACATCATATTAATTTAAAGTTATTAATTAAACGTTTCATAAACCGAATTATCTTTCGACTTATTATAAAGAAACGGTAGAGCTTATGTACATAGGATAAACGCGGTTATGAGAGTTTTGATTAATGTTTACCTCTGAACGATCTGCACTTTAGTATTACCGCGGAGATAAGGTATTACGTTTGATATTATGTACCTATAGGTACCGGCCATAATTCGGATGCTTTCATTTGTATTCGTTATTAGCGGATAAAAATGTATTTTGCACTTTCTTCTCTTTTGGCTTGCCTTATTAAATAACTGTGGAATTTATGACTAGAGATATTTTCGAACAGTTTTTAATAAAATATTAATTCTATAACGTATTTCATCTACTCTTTGTATTTCCTCACTTGTCGTAGTGAATCCAATATAATACAGTATATATATAATATATTTAGAAGCTATTTGTCTCATCATATGTACATGGTTTTAATAAGTATCAGATAAAAACAAAAAAACAAAAACAAAAACTGGACAAAAGACGTCTGCAGTAACTCAATTATAGACAAAGCGAATAGTTTCTCATACGGCTCTGCTGGAGATACTCACGTATTTCGTTGAAGTAAAATGGGAATTCGCCAGGCACGGAGCAATTGAGACGAGACTTCAGATACGATGTCCACCGGTTTTTGAGCTGTTGCGGTCCACCGCGATCGTTTTTGCACACCCTCGCCACCCGAGAGAATACGTTCTGGAAAATAATTGTAGATAAATAATATTGTACTCGATAATAACACTGTATATACATCCAGTCGATGCGAATCGTCGTCAACAACTCATTTCGCACCTAAGACGGCAATAAAATTGGATTATTTTAGGAGGTAAAAAACTAAACACGTATGACAAAAAAAAAGCAATGATTTATTACGTCTGTTATACACTTTATTACGCGGTCGAATTAATGAGCGGCAATCCCCGGAGACTGTCTCTGTGCTCCCTCGTCGGCAGCCATTTTGTCATTAAAAAGGTAAAAAAAAAAATGGAAGTGGACATGATTAAAAAAAAAAAGGAGAAAGATAGGTACGCACATAAATGTAGAAGAAAAGGTGGTTTGAAAAAAAAAAGTAATATGTTAAAACAAATAACTACAATAATACGTTTACATCGGTATAAAGACGAGAATATAAAACGGATGTGTAAAAAAATAAAAAATAAATGCAAATATTATATGATTATCAATATACGGCCAAATGAAAGTCAAGATAGTTAAAAAAAAAAAAAATTAAAAAAAAAAAAAATAAAACTGCCCAACTCCACTCATGGACATTAGGCGCATGAACAGAATATACCAAGTTTTAGATAAACTATACACAATCAGTATATAATGTACATATTTTATGCACACTTTGTTTTATTTAATATTATGATAAATGCGATTACACCACCACTTTCTTTAACAAACCATATCGTCATAATTTCTAAACTCACACTCACAAACACACACACACACACACACACACACACACACACACACACACACACACATATATATATATATATATATGACACAATAATATTTAATATTAACTACGAAATATAATACACACTTAAGACCGAAATGTAATTCACAGAATTTACATTTTAAAGCCATTAGTCTTGCGTGAGACCGCACACAATTTTCAGAAAGTGATCATGATGCACTCGGGGGTCTAAAACCCTAATTCTTTTTTATGACACAATAATATTATGCACATTGTACGTATATTATGTGTATATGATATCTGTACGGTCAGATTATTAGGTGTACGTTTTCGAATACCTACTGAACAACGCCAACGGTGCTAATATATTTTTGATATGCAGTGGAATAATATTTTGTTTGTGAGCTGGTCATTCAATATTTTGGTACGTCATATAACGATAACATTTATATATTATTTAATTTAATTGAACGCGAAAAGATATCAAACAAACGAATTTTGCAAACGCGACGTGAGATTGTTGCGTGACACGATTTTCCTCCGACCGCAACATATATGACGTACAACCATTATTTAAATTGAGAAACTGCGCAATTACACTAATAATTATAATATCAGGTCAAATTCATCATCAGGTATAATGCATCGGATATTTTCCATACCACTCGAGCACCACACAAATAACTATACGCAACAATTAACACATTTCGAATAAGATAAACATGACACAAAACGTAATACATAATAAGCCCACTACAAAACTACCCAAATTATGTATGTTGTACGTTTATATGTTGTCAGGTCATATATGAATGCGTTTAAATACTACGATGATTGTTTATTTAAATACAATTATCATATTATAATATATATAGGTAGCGTATAAAATCAATAAAACAAGAATCAGCCGAAAGAAAATAAATACATAAATATATACATTTGAATAAAACCGTCGAAAAGTTTAATGAGGTATATATATAGGTATTTTAAAGGATTTTGACGATAAGTAAACCACTATAAACTTGATTTATAGCTTAGAATATTGCATAAAATACAATTTTATATAAAGGTTATAAATTGGTAATGGATGCCGATACTCAAATTGATTTCGAAGTGTCAAATTATTTTCGTTATTTATTTTAGATATTGGCGCAGAGGCCATGCATTGAATTCAGAAACATAATTATTATTTATGTTTTATTTTTTATAAATTCTTTAAAACTGCGTCGAAGAACTTGTTTTTGCGCTCAATATCCAATCTATCAAATTCACATGTTTAAAATTGTTTAGCATTTCTAATACTAAACAAATAATTACACAAATCTCAAACACAATGACTAAAACTATAATGTTCATCAACCATCATATGATTAATGTGATGATAATATATTACGGACTAATATTCAAGTATCTATAAGTTAGCTAACAGTTTTTTTTTTAAATTCAGAATATATTTACAAAAAGGTTACAAATGATTACAAAAGTTATGATTTGAAATTAAAAACCAGATATGTTAACTATTATTATCCGTCTAATTGTTTCTAACCGGGTAACAATTTGGAAAAAAACTAAGTATTAAGTCATAAATCATTTTTTTTTTGGCTTTAAAATACGTAAATTTTTACAAGAAATGCAATTAATTGATTTTGCAATGATAAACTATTTAGGGTACTGGTGAAATGATAAACTCATTATCCACTAGCAGTAATCAAGGACTCAATTTGTAAAAACAATCTTGAAATATAAAAAAAAAAAACAATCCGATAACAATAGATTTTAAGGAAACGTCTCATTAATTATTATTTATTATAGATTATGGTTGAATAAAATATTAAAATAAAAATGAAACAAAAAATAAAATAATGATTTTTTCTTTTTTGAAAATATACATATTGCATAATGTATACTAATGTATACTTTATTTAATTTTCAAATTAAAATACTATCTTATTTTTTTTTTAAACCGACTTTTAGAAGCTTTTCAATTATAATAGTGTTGTTTTTTTTTTAAATTTTAAAATCTTAAAATTAATATGCAATGAATCTAAAAAAATTATGACAGCACGCATAAAACAAGTAAACTCACTTAGTCGAATGGACCAACATAATAGGTTAAGTGTAGTATCTCTTCGTTCATTTATTTTATAAATATAATAATCTAAACTATCTCATCCAAACGTTCCTCTTAAATTATTTGAAACGATTATCACTAGTATCATCCATGAAGGACGTGTTACTTTAAAGTTTAAAGCACCCGATAAACAAGATTTGGCATTTATATGCCATAAATGCCATAAATGCTTCTAAAATATTATGTCAGAAACTTTGTTTTCAATTCAGTTTTTTTTTCTGAACAAATAGTAGCAATTAGAAAAGTTACAATAATTTCCAAGTGGATGAAACAATAATAGGTATGTAATGCATTTTTCACCAGCTACGCATTATAATATGTACCTATACATACAGCCATACAATAACTATGATAAATGGAGTGTTTTTTTGTTTCAACGGAACAACAGTACCTAGAATATATTATTATGGTTCAAGTACACGACAAGGAAAAAAAGACTTTTTAATATTTTAGTTCCACGTACGTTGTTACCGCGTGTAAGGCAATGGCTTTTAAACTCAATCCCAATAAGAAACATGACTTATAGATGTGTGCTGAATATTTCACCGGAACCAAACTCTATCAACATTTTTGTATTCGTTCGCCGTTCATGCGAACAAGCTATCCTGTTTATCGTCGACATACGAATCGTTATTAGAAACTAATAGCTATACAAAATATATATTGAAACAATATTTTATACCTACTCAGCATCATAACTCATTTAGCAGTCTCCCGTGTATATTCGAGAAATTTTATAGAGTGGGTACACTTGAAAAAATCGAATCTAAAACAATACCATAATACGTCATAAGCCTCTGCACCAGGAAAAACGAACGCACTTAGATTTATTAGATATTATTATGTTATAACCACGAATAAATATTTAGATTTAGATCATAGGCGCCCATGCATGCGTACTGCGTACAGGTTTAAACCACTGAACTTTTGTTTGATTTCGTATTTTGTGTAGCCGTATAATATAATTTGATACACAAATTATAATTACTGAACGAAACCGCAGCACAGGTACTTAACAAAGGAACAAAATAGTTGCCTTTTGACTAACGACTACAAACGATTTGCCCATATATATACGTGCGAGTTTCTCACATATCACGTAAAATGCCCACATACACGGCCCCTAGACATACCGCCGCCACCCTGGTGGCAGCCAGCGGTCTGAGAAAATTTAATTTTATTACAGGTTAGGGTTGTTCGCAGCAGGTGAAGGAGCCTGACGTATATTCGCGGTGTGCCTACGATACACGAGCAGAAAGAATCACAAACGTTTAGGAAAATCCATACGCCGACCCGCTCCGCGGTAATGATAAACGTAAATTCAAATATTTTTTTTAAGGAGAAAACAAATTTATTCGACCGAGAAAAAACTCGTTAGACTTCAAAAGAAACGGTGCTTTATACGCATTGTTTATGAACTGAATACGTACATGGGAACGGAAGAACGTTTGTAGTCGTGGGGTGGAAGTTGTTCAACGTCAACATCGTTTCAATGTATATAGGTATATATATATATGTTATATAATATAGACATATATTGTAAGGGTAGGAGGTAGTATTATATAATTATGATATGCATTTATTTGAATTGGAATTTGCGAAAGCGCATCGATAAAAATAATTGTTTATCGCAAGCGCATGTTAATAACATAATTTTTTTTTTTTATATATATAAAATGTCATCTCCGCTGCCTGTGAAGTTTATGAGAATGAAGAAAAAAAAATATGTATTTCATAAAATATTGTTAAAATAGCGCAACTCCTACAGATTCGAGAAAAGCGCACACTCATCCTCACACTTTTAAATCATCATTCATATCATAAAGCTGAAGTGTTATGTCAGGTACAATAGTTATACGTTTCTTTGGACCGGTATATACCTTACCACTGGTATTGGTAGATTGCACGCAACGACGCGAGACGTGTCTGTAAACCGAATTTGCTGGACCGGTAAAAATTGACTTGGCCCGATCAGGGTTTTAGATCTTTAAGAATGTGTCCCATCAACAAAATTCAATTTGAAATAATATATTATACTCACAATATATATTCCTTGATAACGTCACTATGTTTGTCCTGAGACGGAACTTTGGGGCAATCAGCTTCTTTTTTTAAGGTGTACCTTAGTATTATATTGTATACAAAATATGTTAATAAAATATTTGTATATATAGGCCTAATAACTAACACACACAAATAATTATAGTGTGTTTGAATTCATCTATTCTAGAGGGAAATATAAATACTCCAAATTTTGAAAAATTTATACTGTTGATTTGATTCTTTTAAATGAGCGCTGAAATAATTTCTTTTTATTAATTTAATAACTGATAAAAATAAATGAGGCGAATTAAATTCAACTGTAATTAAATAAATATGTTTATAAATATTCTTTGAATATAATATGTAATAATGGTTACATAGATTAAGCCTACTGCAGTGATAGGACTCATATACAATTGGTTATGGAACTCTGGGAAAACAGACTAACCTAAATGCAAGTAAGTATTTTATTATGTTCATACATTTTACTATACTTGAATATAAACAACGTATTAAGGAAATTATATTTTTGTACTTTTTATACGAACGTGAATAGGTTTTTAAAGTATTCAATCATCTTGATGTTTACGATTTTCCCTCACTTAATTTCTTTTAATACACTATTTAAGTCTTAAGCATGCATGTATTTCAATACATCGGGTTTGCTTACGACCTTTTTGCTGTTGTTGTTTTTTTTTTTTTTTATGCAGATCTATCATCGTCGTTTTTGAATTTAAAATGACAACTCACCCTAGTACTATGCAACCACCAATGACGGCATACTCAAAACAGTGACCCAAAATCGCGTGGAACGTACATAAACTTTTTTATTTCATTTCCCCCCATATTTTGGAACGACTATTAAAAATATCAATAATATGACGTTTAAAAGTGTTATTATATCGACATAAATCATTGGGCGAACAGGTATGATAATATATTATATTGTTGTGGACAAATCCAATGAGCAACACCAATACCAGTTTAAATCATTATTTTTTTATGCACAAAATTATTGCTTCTATCACGTCATGATATGAAATTGCATTTATCTACATCGCAAAATGACGCAAATCGTAGGCAGATGATAAAAACGAGCACCGAAACCGTCGATTTCCGTGTAGGCGTATATAAGTGATTTGTGTGACTGATGTACGTACACCACACATAGGGTTGCACCGTGCCCGTGGATTCCTGGTAAATTGGTAGATGCATATATTATGTAGCCTCCAGACGACCGATTCATCGAGTTACCACTCAGCCCCTGCCCGGGATTTATGGGAAAACCGTGTTTGCGTATAACGCCCGGGACAAAAACATGGTCGTATCACTGTTTGAAGACGTTTAAACTGAATTTCCATCCCAATTTTCCGGAACTTCGAACAAACCCCTGCGGCGGTGTTCATAACTGCTATTCCGTTTAAGAACGGCAAGAGTGCAACTACACGCCGAACTTAATATGATTCCCCGCGATTATTACACTTTAGAAACACGCCCAACGACCGCGTGTAGCTAGTATAGGTACCTAGGCCATAAATGATAATTACACGCGTACTCTGAGTGCGCGGAACTTATTTCCTTCTCGGTTATTATTCTTTTTTTTTTACGGTTTTGTTTTCCATAAACCCGATACGTCTGAAGACGTATGTATTATTGTATATATTCTTCGGTAATCGAAATAGGCAACATAATATAAAGTCGGCGCAAACATCTGGCACGCTTGTTTGCCGTAATTCGTCATGAAAATCGAACGGAGTAAAAAAAAAAACACCATTTCGTGGGTCAGCAGTAGCAGGTACGTCGCTGCAGCAGGTTCGATGCATTTAGACTAATGTATGGAAAAGGAGAGAAGGACATGACGACGACGGCGGCGAAGGGGCAAATAGTATAATAACTCACTTTTCCGCAGTTTATATATTCGACAGCCGTTTCTCTGAAGAAGAAGTAGACGAAATCGCCGTGGGCAAAGGAATGCACGAAATGCGGAGCTGAAAAAAAAAGACAATTTGTCAGTGTCGTACGAAATTAAGATACTGTCCTTGTTCGTTCGACACGTGAACACTATGGCTAATACACACACACACACACACACACACACACACATACATACACATGGTTTTTATACATATAATACAAGAGGAAAAATGTTTATTGTATGTATATTAGTGTGAAATATCGGTCTTACCGTTCAGGCTCAATGAGTCATACTGTTCGGTCTGTAACTGTTCTTTGTAAATAATCGGGTCCATGCTGGAAAAATCTGCTACTGTGGCGGAGAACAAATTTCCATCTGAGAAAAAATAAAATAAAAATCGGCATATTAGTTAGGAATATTAGTTATGATTTTTTTCTGCATAGACACTGAAAATCAATTAAAATAATAAACTCCAAAAATGGAACGTCATAAAAAATTAATAACGGCGGTGTCTTGAAGTAGTTGAAAACGGTCACTTTATTGTCTATATTTTATCGGTCATTAAGTCGAAGTTCAACCAGGAACTTTGGGGTGTGAATTATTAATTTTAAATACTAAATACTTAAATATTTCTTTTAATCTCTTTCGTTCCAATATTATATTGTTCTTGCATTGTTATCCACTGTATTTGTACTCTTATTACATTTCGTATTCAGAGAAACACATTTAATCAAAAAATACAATTTCACAGTGACATTTACTAAAACATAATAACACATTTTTTCGCTCATCTGTTAATGTAGTTGTACTGACAATAATGGCACGACCGCATGAGTAAGTATATTAATTGAAACTCCAATATGATTGTGTTATGTCATTTAAAATAAAACCGTTCAATACCAAAAAAAGTATTAAATTATTATTATTTTTTATCGAATGTTACGTATGTGCAATAAAAATAATATATATTATTTATAACGATACATAGATTGAATTCTAAAAGAACTAAAACTAATTTTTTTTTAATATCCAGTCGTTTTAGTGCTTACCAACATATGCGTAAGTACTATTGTGTTTCGGGTCATACGGACACACTGCTTGGCCGGGACTCTCTTTGTCCAATTTATATTTGCCGGGCTAAAATAAATGATAACGGTTTTAATTACCTTATCATTATTAATTGTGTACCAAAAGTACACGTTCTTACCTCGATAATGTATTCCCGGCAAAGAGGTTTGTACGAATTTGTACCGCAAACAAGGAGACGGCTGGCAGACATTTTCGCCAACACTCTGATATAATTCTGACAGTTATCCTAAAATCATACGATTCATAAGAACATTTTTCCAGTAAATTTAAAATGAAAGATTAACTATCCAAACAAATATATTATAAAACAAGATTGTGATTTTAGTTAGGTAGTTATATCATATTATTATACGATATGCATATTTTTACGTACATGACGTTAATTCTTTAGTAGATTTCAAGTGTTTTTCGTAAAAAATATTTAATCTTAAGCACTAAATTAGGTACTAAATTTAACATTATTTAGTTAAACAGTGTATAAATTAGCATAAAATATTTTACAAGACACTACATATTATATTTTATTATTATCAACCGATAATTATGAGGTGATAAACTGAGTACTATAAACACATTTTATAAAGCTAGCTATTTAGTATAGAATTAAATAGTGATTCTTATAATTTTTATGTATATTTTAATAATTTTTTTAATTTGTATATTATATTAATATTTTTATTGTTCCTAATTGGAGATATAATTATTGTAAACGTATAATATATCATTTTGTATCATGATTTCGTAAACTGTGCATACCAAATATTTCTATAATAAGTTCGATTACAGCGAATCGCATATTTTATAGATTATTACACCCGGCAGAATGTAATACTGTAATAGCGTTTAGTATAAATAAAACCATTTTTGTATTCTCATTTTTGACGATAAGTCAACTGCATAGATGTCGTAAATCGTATAATGATTCATCAGTAGTTCTGCGATCTGTCGTTTGCAGGAGAACTTCTTCATACAATTTTCTTATATAATCGCATCTAACCTTCATCTTCAGTTTTTTCCCATCCTCCACCACTATAAACCAACCCTTCTTTCTTTTTTTTTTTTTGAGGAATAGAGTGGCAGATTTTCTGGTCACGTCTGGTTTTCTAGGGGAAGGTGATTGATGGTGTTATGTGCAGCTGAAATTTATTGATGACGTTTCGGCTATTTTCTGACAGCGGGACCCTAGTTTTACGAACATTTAACCCAAAACTTTCTATCTCATGTAATTTGTCCTCACCTTCCTCGCTATCTTAGACAATAGACCACACAAAAATGTCAGTTTTAATTTTTTAGTAATTAATAACAATATCAAAAGAAACGCGAAAGGCAAACGCAATACTTCGACCAGGCGTCAGGCAACAATATTACTTTACGTAAAATAAAGTAATTTAACATAATTATATACCGTAAACCATGAGGGATTGTATTTCGGCGTGTTTGATGAATTTGCAAAGTTTCCATTGAACAAAATCGTGCCATAATTACATTAATTAATAATATTCAGTTTTAATTGCAGTTACGTACATAGAGCAGTATTGATTGATTGCAGCACAATCATTGGTATGTCAGAAACTAAATAAAAAATGTCGGTCTATTTGAGATTTAGAAAACTGTATTCTTTTAGAACACTAAACAAGCCAGCACTGAAAAAGCCGAGTATATGCAAATTATTCAGTCGTATTATACGGATACGTCTCAGTATATTTAGTTCAAATTCGGTCAAATATTTGATAATTTTAGCTCGTGCGACCCAAAAGTCGATGAAACGAATTGTAATTTCTCGTCGTTAGACGCTATACATGTATATATATCACATGTATATTTCTGAGATGTTGTCTGAATATCAACTGATGTGCTCTGAACTATAAACAGTAAGTGTAATAATATACTAGAGATCGGAACGAACAATACAACACTTATTAGTGCGTACATACAAAGCCATTTATCCACTCAAGTTTTAAAATTCAAAGAGCTTTCGAGAATGCCCTACTACAAATACGTATCCCTCTCTGTATGTATACGAACAAGGACTATTTTAACAAGAAGTCAATACGTACATATAATATATTTACATAGATGAAATCCATTACCGTATTGTAATATGCACGTAGATCTTGGCATCGATTCGTCACAACTTGTAATATTATATAAACGACGTTCGGTTTGAAATTGAACCTAATATAGTTAGTCATCTCAGTGCGCACCATAGTCGATAAGATCGGCGATGCGATGGTAATTTGACAAACGTCGACGGCATAAATAATACGATAAAAATATTATGATGTGTATACATGGTGAAATGCAAGACGAACATGTTATATTATTGCGATTGCGCGCATTCGAAGACGACACCGCAAAAAGTACTACGCTGTATCGTCGTATATTACAGGAAATGAAAACCATCTTAAAAAAAAGTAATATTCTCGTAATGAGAGAATAAAAGTATTTAATTCCTTTGGTGCGGCTCGTAAGAAAGTAAATTAATGAAAACGGACCAAGCAGAGGGAGAAAAATCGTTAACGCCAAAGTCGGAGATACAATTAAATTGATAAGCGTGGCGGCGGGGTAGTGTGGCTGGAAAGTTATGTATATATACGGAGACGACCGCGGCATAGGATGGCAATACAAACTTTTGCTCTTTTATCGAATTTTGTACGAAACTGATATAATAAGTTGGTATTATTATTGATATGCTTCGACCGTATAAAACATGATGTATCGTTATACCTACTGGCTTGGTATGTGAAGCATTTTGTCTATAATATTGGCCCCTTCGTTTTTGATTTAACAAAACGATTTTCATTAAATAAAACTGCAACAGTCGGCATGGGTTCAGTTTAATATATTACTTTTACCGAAAGCAATATTTGTGTTACAAATAATACGACGTGTGTGTGTGTGTGTGTGTGTGTGTGTAATGCGGTATATTGAATGTAAGATTTCAATAACTTTAGAAATTCGATATCCAAAACATAAATTTTTCTTACAAGAATGGAACTATATTAAGTAATATAATATATAGGTCACAAATTATCTAACCTGTATTTCAATTACATTTAATGCTAATTGTTTGATCAAACACTTTTTTTAAATTTTATTTTAAGAGATTTTATCAACGAATATAGTTTATCTTAATTCTGAAACGATCAAGTAGTAAAAGACACAACAAATAACTATATAGGTAAGGGTTACACATTTATTCACAGTGGTCGCACATCTACAAACAAGTAGACGGGGAATGGATTACTGACTTGTCCATTATGCAACCACAAGTACTACAACATATATACTTTTGAAAACTTCAAGTAACTTGGTTTAATATAAACTAATCTAGGTTGATTATATCTACCAATAGGCAATTTAATTTATTTTATTTTTTGTATTTGTATTTAAGGAGAAATTATAATAAAAACACAATATTTAATAAAAAAACATAGTTTATATAAAGTGTTATAAATTTGATCGTTTCTTTTCACGAGAATAATAATGTCTACAGATATAAAGTATTAATTAAAATTTTTTTTTCTGCATAATTTAATAATATAGTAATATATTATATAATCATACATAATATGTGTGTGTGTGTGTGTGTGTGTGTGTGTGTGTGTGTGTGTGTGTGTGTGAGTACTGGTACTTTACGCAAGTATTTGGAAATGATGAACTAAAAATGTAGGTAGAATTTTTTTAATTAAAACTGAAGGGTTGTCATAAACTAGTTTAAACGTTACGTTGAGCTGGTGGCAATTTAAGCGTTAAAAATCACTCTTTGGAGTAAAAATGAACGTGAAATAGGTAAAAAAAATACATAGCGCACACTTTAATTAATTAATACAATGTGAACACATGAAAAAAACAATATGAAATTTACTAGAAAAATTAAATATATAATCATTATAAGTAGCCAATTTCATTTAATTAGTCATGAATTATAATATTATGCACCCATTGTGTCTTTATAGTAATACAAGATGATTATAGTATGAATATGGTGAAACAATAGTATAACAACTAAATTTCTTAAAATTAATATTAATAGAATAAATAGACGGTTACTTGAGAGCTAAGTTACAGATAGAGAGTATATATTTGGTTGATTAATGAAGTTGAATAGTATGAAAGAAAAATGTAATGTAAGAACCAAACATATAAAATATGTTATGGTGTAATTTTTAAAACAGTTCTCCCATGCAAGTAGTTGTATATTCACCAACATTATTATTCTTCTTTCATACTTTTCAGATTTAATGAACTTACTTTTCCTAATTTTGTTATTTTCAAATAAGTTTTAAATAGGTATATATTTGAACATGATACGCAAAATTAAGCTTGGAATTGTACAGGTAAAATATAACCATTACTAATAATAATGCAATAATAGATGTACATAAATTAATATTAATTGTTTAGTCCCTAGGTTCACACAGTTTATAGATAATGGTTTAGGTACATTATAAAATATAAGATCTGAAGTAGGTTAAATTAGGTTCCATTTTATCTCACTATTTTGTAACATCTATATGTCTGTAAGATCATTTCGTAAAACGAGTACGGGCACCCTTTATGGATTTTATGATTATTATTATTATTACTATTATTATTTGGCTTTTTGTATGCATAGTCATAAATGCTCAGAATGGCAAAAAAATAAATGATGAGAGAACGTGCATGAAACAAATCTCAAAATGACTCCCTCGAGGCACCTTGTTCCTTGTCGTTACGATACGGTTGTATTTTTTTTATATATATATACGTGTTTGTGGGAAATAGAGTGTAGAAAATTAAAAACAGATTTTTCGGGAAAAAAAATAAATGCGATTAACGGAGATATTAATTACTTTGATATAGGCTATAATTATAATATATTCGTGATTGAATATTCGGAATACATTTATAAGGCAATTTTTTTAATCGAAATTCATAGACAAAAAAAAAAACAAAAATGAAGTCATTCTAACTTTTTGGTAACCAAGATATACTTCAATTCAATGACATTCAGTAACGGACGTTGGATTCGATAATTTTGTTTAAAATATTATTAACTTTAAGTATAAGTAACAAAAATATTAACGAATCCCCCCAAAAAAATTATTAAAATCAAACTAACTATGAACATTTTTTTTTTTATTATTTTAAATGAAAATTTAAAAAACAATTTATTATTATTTAAATTTTATTCTTAGTGGCGCAATTGATGTTAACTTTTTAAGAATACATTTTTTGTACTGGCACAATATATGTATATTATATAGGTAGTGTCCCGAATTCGGAGAAATTGACGAACACCTTAAAATTTAACAAAATATGAAGAAATTTTTTCTTTTTTTTCCAGATAATTGGCTTTAAAAGTGCTGAGATTTTTCAAAATTGATTTCCTTAAAGAACTAAACATATATTATTTGCTACGAGAAACCACCTTCAGAGTTGATTTGATGACCAGATCATTATTTTCACTAGGAAAAGTGTCTACGGACACAAAGATTAAAAAAACACATCATTGTAAAAATCAATACGTTCATCGGAGCGATGAATTAGCGGTGATTAGGAGGAAAAAAATAGGAGTAAAAAAAAAACCACGTTATGTAAAGGAAACATAATTGAGGTTCACAACAATTAACTAAATAATATGATGCAGGAATATCCAGTATTACATCAATCTTTACACTTGTACAATGCATTTTAGACTTACCGATATTATAAACAACCTGTACAATCTATAATATTACAAGGCTTATAAAAAAAAACATCAAGACTTGGTGACAAAACTAATGTATTGTATGTATTATTATTAAATAATATGTATGAAGTGCTAATATTTAGTGAAACCATAGATTGGCTGATATACAAATAAAGTCGTTTATTCGGTTAGGATAGGCAAGTAGCTAAAGTCGGTGCAACGAACAAAAAAAAATGTGATGCTATTATAACAATCAAGATTAAAATTTTTGCTGTTGGTTGTTAGTAATTTATCAAGTGCATCGTATTCTTCTGCTCTAGCGAATGGAAAGGAAAAAATGATTAAAGGACAGAAAGAGCAAATAGTGTAGTAGAAAAAGAAAATAATCCCTTCATTCTTTGTACACGAAGGGAATATAGGACTTTTTTCCTTATCGGCTTTTTTCCCCTTCACACTTTTCTTTAGTAACAGTAAAGTCTACCGTCGGATAAGACGATAAACAATATTATCAGAAAACCAAATGCAAATAACCCTCGTTATGTGTCGAGGGTTTTCAGACCTACTAAAGACAATTTTCTTCTGAAATGAAAATGTTTAGTCTCGGTTTTGGTTTATTGTTTCCATCATTTCACATTATTATTATTTATTTTCTTTTTTTTTTTTATAATTATGTAGGTAGTAAAATACAATTTACAAATCAAATCGCCATACATTTTTTGATATTTGTTGATAGGTACATGGACTCGGTTTTTTTATTTTAAAGCAAATACTATTTTCAATATTTAATAAAATATTATGTAAACATTTTTTTTCTTATTAAATTCTATGATTTTCCAATGAAAATAAAACGGCTACATAAATATATATATATATTATACTTTTCAAAGTACAAAAAAGTAATATAAATTAAAAACGGATAGTCTATCATGTTTTCAAATCAATATCACAGTACTAAGTATATAATTTTCAAATAAATGGAAATTCGTTTGATTTAAAAATAAAATTAGCACATTTTATAATAATTATAGTGTACACAAAAACAAATAATCATAATGGAATTTATTCGAAAAAAATACGATGTAAATAATCGTATCAAACTATACCACGAATATGTAAGAGATAAACATGTACTACAAAAAAATTTAAACCGTACACATTATAAAAAAAATTTCATGAATTCAAATAATTTTATACCTACTTAATACTAGTTATTTTATAATTTTCACGAATCATAAAGTACGTACCTATCACGTGGTAATTTATAACATGGAGTCATAAACTGAATTTATAAAAAAGGTTAAAAATATTTACTTAAATGGTTATTTTATTATTTTTTTATGAAACTAAACACTTTAAAACTCACAATAACCGCATAAATCAGTACAATTATTGTAATATATTATGTTTAATGAACACAGAAAAAGTCTCGAAATAATAATGTCAATCATAATACTTGTAATTTTTACCGCGGGGAAATGTTCGAATAAAATGTCACAGAATTAATTCCATTTGACTAGAATGTCTTTTTGGAATGCGAATATCGTACACAAGATATTATAAGTGAATAACGTTGCAGGGCAAACAATTTATCATCAAAATTGAAGGCTATTAGATTTTATAATGAATTAAATTATAAATGAAACTCGGACAATTCTAGACTGTCAGGGTTAACAAAATTAATTTGGAACCATGTTAACGAGCTAGAATAACCGGCTAGTTTCAATATGCACTATACGTACATATATTAATTATTAATAACCTCCATATTCATTAATAATAACCAAATATCGACCAAACTAACAAAGTACATTTTTTATTTTAAATTTATATTATTTACCTAATTTTTAAATAAAAAAAAGAACCCCTGTAAAATATTTTAACAAAACAAATTTAAATAATATTTATTTGTATTTATTATGAAGTTGTGAAATTGTTCCTAATAATATTACATTCATAAATTAAAATATTCATAATCTTATAATAGTTCATAAAATTATTATATTTAACGTGGAATGTTTCAAAATACGTTCAAAATATTAAAATATCAATGCAGCCATGCATTAAAATAATATATATACATTATGTGCATCATATTTGCCTATACAAGACGCCGTGTTACTATTTCAGTTATCAGAACATCAATTATTTTCTTATATACTTCCATTGTTAAGCATATTACAGCTTATAAAATATAAACCTTGATATACAAGAAAAATCTTCATATCATTAAGTTAGTTACACTAAATAAAAATTATATAAACCTTATAGAATCTTGTATTTTTTTTTTAACAAACAAAAACAATATGATTTCAATTTTACAGGGTTTCATCATTACTTGTATGGAAAATGTATAAAGACTAAAAAGACTGTGATCATTATATTTAATTCTAGGTACCGACCTATTTATATTTATATTATGGTTACCTATAAAAATATGAATTAACAATATCAAAAAAATAAAAAATTATATCATGTAAAATAAAATTTTTATGGAATAAACAGAGCCTCGAGGTACTAATTTTTTATTTTATATTTCAATTTTGTATAAAGTAGTATTTACGTTATTATATCTCATATTTTACACTATACTGAATATTCATAAAAAAAATCCATCGTGTAAAATACTGATGAATTATGGACCAATTAATTTTAAAACATCAAATACAATATTTTTCTTTTACAAAATAAATTATAATCTAATATTATTATACAAATAACAATTATTTAAAACATTAGCTGTTTCTGTTTCCAATAGTTTCATCGTATAAAACGCATAATTGTACGTTTACAATAAATACAGCTATCGTTGAAAATCAAATTTAATTTAGTATTAGAAAAACTATTTTCAACCAAAATATATTTACATAACTATATTATAAATATATATTTATATATTAAAGTTGTAGAAAATATCAGTCCAAGTCACAGGTAATGATCGTGTTCGAGACACTCGTGATAGATGACTATCTCATTCACGCTCCATACTAATCCTACCTGCCCCGACGAAAGCTCAATATCACGTCTTATTAAACTTTAAAAGTATCTAACGCCCTCGCCTTAAAAATGATCATTGAAGTACAGCAGAGCCCAGACAGGGGGGCGTAGTTTGAGTATGTTGATTGATCGACAGTGCCCGGAGATGACACCATATTCAGTGCCACAGGGCGTGTTTAATGATAACAAAGCTAGGAAGCAAAGAAATGCGAATGGGGGTGGTTGAAAAAAAACTGTGACCAAGTCTAGATGAATCGTTGAACAGTTTTTGACATGTTCCCCGTCGTCATACCGAGAACCTTAGATGTTCCACTATTACGTACTCGATGAATAACGCAAAGAATGCAAGACAAGAATCGAAATGCAGAAAGTTTTAAATGTCAACTCAGAGGAGAAATGTATCATAAAATAAATGATAATAAAAATATAAATAAGTTGGGCAGTCATAAAATACATCTATAAAACATGAAGTAAGAAATATTTATATTGAATATTTTTATTTGTAAAAGATACATTTAAAATGAATTACTGCAAATATATTAATTTCAATCATACAATTACCTATTGCAGGATTAAATAAACACATTTTTTTTTTGCAATTAATGTAAAACATATTGAATAAACTCACATAAGGGTAAATATAAGAACACACCTTCGTGCGAAATACAATAATATATTATTATATAGTTAAAAAGCATATTATTCTTCGAACAACATATTATATAAAAGATATACCAATAGAATTTCTGGCACCTTAATAATACATGTACAAGTTATAAAAGGGGAAACAAAGTCAGTTAATTAACTAAAACAAGTTTACCTATACACATTATAGCAAAGCATAAATCCATCCCCGAGCTTACTTTCTATACTGACAACTGATATCTCAAATATAACTCAACCCTCTTCCCCTATTAAATGATACCATTCTTGTATAACCCAATACTCCGGTAAAAGCAACGTTGTTTGTTTAATATCATGGTTTCCAATTTCATACTAATACAGAAAGATTGTTTAATCCAAAAGATTGAACATTTTTTTTATTTTGAAAACATTCTTAATTGCAAAAAACAAAATATTAAAAGATACAACTTATGTATAGCAATACACACAATGTGTGCATATAAATACCGTTTAATATGTAATATTTTTTAAATTTTTTTTAATGTATATTATAAATGAAAATCTTCCAAAATATTTTAGTGGGTCATATAAATATGTTTTCTTTATAACTTATAAAATAATATAGAACATAATATAAGCTATTTATTTATACTTAAAATACTGAAATAGTTATAATAATGATATAAAATAAGTTTCTCAAAATATTCGAACTTTTAAATACTACATAATATTACAATATTATAAATTTAAAATCTTACCTCGTCTTTGCCCTTGACTAAGCACATTTTGTAATCAGCATCAGTTGAGTGCCATTCCAATCTCTGCGAAAAAAAAAATAATAGTATTAAACGATAACATACAAAATATTATAATATACGTATTAGTCCGTAATCGAACATATAAAATGGGTATTAAATGTGTGTTCATATAATGACAAAGCGACTTAGATTTAAAATATAGATGGTATAAAAATATACATGATATTATATGCACTATACCGAGTCAATAAAATATGCATCATTATTATATCGTTTATGCCATGCTAGGCGATAGGATATTCCAAAATTCTTTAAGATATCAAATAAAGCATTTTTTTTTTTTTTTTTATTATTGTTTGCTTTATGCCATAATATACCGAGTACCATATTATTATCTATAAAGTGAGGAGATAATAAACATCTCTCTGACCTACATATATATATACGTACGTAAAATAATACAATTGAAGATGACGACTGCGTTTTATGACAAAATATCTACCATCACCATTACGAAGTTTAGTAATTTTAAAAGTCAACACAGCTCGATACACAATATATTTATATGCATGTGTGTGAGTGTGTGTGTGTGTGTGTGGGTGAGTGTGTTCGTCTATGTGCGTGGGTGGGTTTGGAACAGACGAGGGTTTAGTGAGGTGAACTTTGCCGGAAGCTTCTGTTAACCGGAAGGAAATAGAAATCCGGCAAATGTTACCCTCTTCCCCCATCGTCGTAACCAAGAAATTCTTCGTGTAAATTTCTTGGCATAATGAACACGTAATCCCTATCTGCAAAGGGTGTATCATCTTAGATTGTGCGAAACTTTCGGACAGCCCTGGCTTGACATCCGCGTTCTCCAATTAACCATATTACACGCCACGAGAAACATATGATTTCAGCAATCCCCTTAATGGTTAATTAACAAGAAACAATGGAAATTGAATACGCAGTCAATTCAGATGCTGATTACAATAACAGATGCATGTTCTGTTCCAGTAGTTTTCAGTGACAAGGACATTAATAGAATATATAAACAAAACAAAATCTAATTAAAAATACAATTTCATTCATAAAGCCAAGGAATAAACTGGAAAGTCCCAATTAGACCCAGCACAACATTTTTTTTTTATTAACATTGATATGCAAAAAGAAAATTAAAATATTTCAAGTGCCAGCTAGTAAAAATATTATGTAGAATAAGTCTAAATATTAAAAAATTTAATTGTGCATAAAAAATGATAATTTTAGTAATAATTGGAATGTTTCAAATTTTTAAGATGAGTATTTAAAAAAAAATAATGTAATGAAATTTGTTTTAATGATATACATCGTTTTTTTTTTTTTTTTTTATTAGCTTTTAGTTTTACTATTAGAGCTAAACAATTATATAAATACATCGTTATTATTTGTACGTATTTCAGTATACGATATTGTTGAACTTTGAACTTATAATGCTTAGGTGTATAAAGAAAATAAAAATAAATTTTCTACATTTTTTTTAAAAATAGAACAACTTATCAGAACCTATAGGCACCTATATTATTAAATGTTCAAACTTTTTTAATTAAAAACAAAGATTCCATCATTTACGATTAGGAAATAAACTAAAAAAGTAGACAGTTTTAAACGTATATTAATAGCTCAACAATTCAAAATCATTCTTGAACATTTTAATTGTAATATTTTGTGAACATTTTAAATATCAGATTTGATCCGATCTGCAATTATAGAAAATAATATCAAATTTGAAGATCTTGGATTGAAATTTCAAATTCTCCCAAAAAAGCAACATCTTTTTAAAACCATATACATTAATCGCTCCGATCAAAATACAATACAAAATAAGACTGATTTTAATTACTCATTTGAATTTAAATTCAGATTATTATTTTATTTTTAATACATCGATTCGGTCAACGTAACCTAACTATTAGAAGAAAGTTTGGATTCGCAATAGGTAACGATTTTTTTGTCTCCATGTTGAAAAATACTACATATACTCATATATATATATTATGTATGTGCACGTAGTATATATAATTCACAAATGTAAATGATTAAAATAAATAAGGTTGAGTAGGACATTCGAAAATATTATAATTTGAATTTATTAGAGTTGGACAAGAATGACAATAAAATAAGTAGGTAATATAAAGTTTTAAAGAAAACAAGATGTTTGTTATCATGTATAGCAGTACGCACAACCAATTTTGTTGAATTATATAAAAATATAACCATTTTAGAGACTTAAGATTCGGTCACAAAAATCATGAAGCCGAAAAACACTGTAATACATGGCAAAATTGCATAAAAAATAATAATAAATGTAACGTGCAGGAGTGTATGCAGTTAGTATACAACCTATACAATTCTCCCATTGTTCTTGTTTACCTGTCATTTTTCATTGTATAGCATATTCGTTCAATAGTTAAAAGGCCATACCAAACGAACCAATCAGAAATATGCGAGTAAAATCAACCTATTCAAAATGTCAGAAGCGATACTAATGGACCAACCAGAACTAGCATTTTATTTTTACACAGTTAATGTTTCAAACAAGTCATATTACAATACAAACATTGCACTTTCACCTCAACGATCTTTAAAAGCTATACCTTTACAGTTAAGCGATATTTTGCATTTTAAACAAACTTTAATTGATAGCATTGATTAGCATTTTTATTTATACATAAATATTTATATATATATATATATCGTAGCGGTTATCATAATGACACTATATTAAAGTGATTTGTATCCAATTTAAACTGACATGCATACTCGTATTTATTCGAAAAATATAGATTTCAAATGTATCGATTATTTTATGTTTATTTTATACATAAAACAACCCATAACATAGCCAAATACACCAACAAAGTGTTTAATATTATGAAACAAAATTAATTATTTATCAATGAATTAAATATAATTTTATTTAAAGTTGTGTCCTTATTGAACCAGCAATAAACTGAAAATCAATTGATGAAATAATAGTGAATTCAAGAATTTCATAGTAAACAGACATCTCATTTTACAAAGGTAAATATACTTCAGTAATTTTTCGTGAATCATCAAAGTTTCCAGAAATGAAGAAATATTTAATTTTACGGAGAAATTTATTAATTGATTTCATTATTTCTAAATAGGTACTTAACAATTTCTAGAATACATTTAATTTTGATTAAAACTATTTGTATGTATTATACAACAAATCGTATAATTGCAGGCTATGTTTGTAAAATAATTGCATATCCAATAAATAACATTCAATAGGACAAATTGTTCGATGTTTAAAGTTTTTTTAAACAAAAATGTATATACTTTTTAATACATTTAAAAATATAAATCAAAAATTATACTATTTTGGTTGTATGAAAATGATACTGGGATATGATTGAATTGATTGTATTTGCTACCTATATTCTGAAATATGTAATCAATGCCCACACACAATTAACATATTGTAATGTTATAATTTAAGTCAGACAAGAGTGACAATTTTTGTTTTTTGGATCAAAAACTACTAAAGTGTAAATAAGGGATGGCGATTTTGTAGCAATAGATAAATAAGCAATATTGAGTATCCCCATGAAAGCTGATTTTCGTCCAGCCAAATTATGTACACCATCTATATATACCGGGATAGATACTTATTAAAGGTTTGTTTAAGTTTTACTTAATAATAACTGAATAACTGGAGTAAACAATTTTCGTGTATTGACGTCAAACACACGCAGTGACAGTTTCACATCCTAAATTTTTGTTCCGACATTGTGTTGTACAACGACCCTTAGAATTAAACTTTGAAGTGCGTATAGCTATACACTATAGTTAGGTAATTGAGTTGAGTCAATATTGAAAAGGTCTATTTCTATTCATTTCATAATCTCTTTAAGAACGTTGCCAAGAGTTCGCGGCAGTCGAAATTTAGTTAGACAGTAGTAAAACATCACCGCAACGACACCGTGGAAAGTTTAATCACTGGTTAGAAATACACCGTACGTAATCGCCTTTTAGCGATTATAATGTAGAAACATAATTTAATTAATATTCGGATAACATTATGTATATACGACGTGTGTATGTGTGTGTGTGTGTGTGTGTGTGTGTGTGTGTGTAAGTAATAGGTGTATACACATATACATAAGAGCATATAATCGTTTATTCACAGTATACGTTTTGACGGTATACATATCATAGTATTGTAAATATATATATATGTAATATAAAAAAAACGAATTTATTTCACAAACGTGCCTATACAACGGGATAAAAATTCGTTGCATAATAACTAAAAATAAAAACAACGAAAAAATATATGTATATCCATCTGTTTGCGGTCTCGTTTCACGAAGTTCGGCATGGCTCGTGGTCGTATGTTTTACGGTTATCGATATTTTTTTTTTTTACTATACACTCAAGCGCACATACATTATGCACCAATTTCTGTCGAACCTTGAATTTAATAAAGTTAGTTGGAAATTCGCCTCCAACGACCCCCTCGGCCAATTTCATCACGAGCCCATGGGAGGGGGGAAGATAGAGAGCAGCAGCAGCCGCCGATCCGAACTTAGGCCATTCTTTATAACGCGCGTACCGTATATATAGCTATCGCGACGTTACGAGATTAGCCGAAGGGAAAACTCAGCCCCGAACCACCTCTGCGCCCCAACCACCCCCAAGCGTCACCCCCGTCTGGTTTCGGAACACCCTTCGCACCCGCTACCACCGACGCCGTCACTAAGCGATTGTGTGGAAACATTATTGTTGTTTATATGTTATACTCACGCGGAACAGTGAGCGGGCGATCCTGTATGGTGGAGGGGAGCTCATAGTCGTGTCGTATGCAAAACGGATGACATTAGAGAGTGATTTATTATGCATACATATATTTTTTTTCCTCCAAAAATACGGGATAGAGAAAGAGAGAGACAGAGAGACAGAGAGAGCGCGAAGGGGAGGGGGTGACGATCGAAACCGTGAGAGAGAAAGATAAATATATATATATATGTGTGTGTGTAGAGAGAGATGAGTGTGTCGAATAGCAGTGAACTATACGT